GCGCAACAACCCGGAAGACAGAAATCTTCATACTCAACGCTGTGAAAACCTCAAATCTCACAAGATTTGAGTGAATCACCTGGATTGAAAACAATTTAATATCACCAGAAATAAACTTTGTCACAATCCATTGTCATATTCACTAGAGTGAATTTGTATTTGAAAATCTCTGCAGAGGGAGCTGGTAGATTAGACATCATTCTCATTTAAAAACTTCTTGGTTCAATCCCAGTCATATGTGAAGGTCCGGCAAGAGAGCGTTCGGATCCTGAGAGCCTCCAAGAAGCCGAAAGACAATCTGTCCGGAGCTGAGAGGAAAGCTCTCCGAGCCCTGCGGAATAACGCGGACCTCACGGTCCTCCCGGCTGACAAGGGCAGCGCGACGGTTGTCCTTAGCACCGACGACTACAACGGGAAGACCCGAGCCCTTCTGGAAGCCCCGACATACAGGTTACTGTCCAAGGACCCTACGGAAGCCGTTGAAAGGAAGACCAACCTCCTTCTCAAGAAGTCATAATTTCCAGAGGAGGTCATCCAAAAGCTACGGCCCCAGGGTTCGAGGCCCCCTAGACTGTATGGGCTACCTAAGATCCATAAGGAAGGAGCTCCCCTCAGGCCCATCGTAAGCACCATCGGCGCTCCAACCTACCGGCTTGCCCAATATCTCGCGGGACTACTCGGGGGATTGGTGGGGCACTCTCCACGTCACGTGAAGAACTCCACCAAATTCATCAACACCATCAAGTCGCTCCGCGTGGGCCCTGGGGACATCATGGTCAGTTTCGATGTCGTGTCTCTCTTCACCATGGTACCCGTTGGTGATGCCCTACGTCTCCTGGAACGGCACTTCGATGGCAACGTCTTGAGGCTGTTCCACCTTGTATTAACTTCTTCATATTTCAAGTTCGGCGGCCGGTTCTACGAACAGACCGACGGCGTGGCTATAGGTTCCCCACCTGATGGCACATTAGGCCACAAGGTGTACCGAAAACCAACCCATCCCGACCTTTACCTCAATTCCAATTCCCATCACCACCCGTCCAACAAACAGGCCGTGCTTTCGACCCTGGTACACAGGGCTAAAGCCCTTTCCGACCTCGAGAGCCTACAGAGTGAACTGGAGACACTCACCACCACCTTCAGGAAAACGGATACAGCAACCGTCAGATTCAGAAAGCTCTCAATCCGCCTGCGAGGCTGCCACCGCCTACTGGAAAACCAGCCTCGGTTGCCTTCCTGCCCTACGTCGGGACGACCTTCAACCGCATAAGCAGGTTGCTGGCCAGGCACGACATCAAGTCTGTTGGTCTTCCGCCAAAGAAAATTCCCAGTTTTCTCCGGCCGGTAAAGGA